AGCAAATCTTCGTGCATTGATTTATTAAATTGGTTCCGCTTTTTGATAGATCGAAATTCTATCCGCCAGACTATAAATAATAGTACGTTCAGACTACAGAGTTATAACATGTTATAGCGCTATATTGATGGTGGTCTCTGTGTTGCAATTATTTGACAACCGTTATAACATGTTATAACTCTCCAGTCTGAACAAGGCATAACTCTAAAACGCTGTCCAGACTGGAGAGTTAAAACATGTTATAACGGTTGTCAACTAATTGCAACACAGAAACCACCATCAAGATACCTCTATAACATGTTGTAACTCTGTAGTCTGAACGTACTATAAGACCAGAAGGTCCCGAAGAAACGTGCTCAAATTTTGGCTCAGCTCTGGTACTCTCTTCGGTCCCAAGCTAATCGATGTACCCCTCGAAACATAGGTAAATCCAGTTTCCACTGGTTGGTTATAACATGTTACAAGGGTGTCATAATAATTATCGATAAGAAAACTATCATCAAGATACCCCTTGTTTCGCTGAAATGAGAATAAAAGTTCCCGAATGAGATGTGCAAACAGTGCAGCAAACGATTCCGGAATAGAATTCCGTATTCGCTCTCTCAAAAAATGGTTTTGCGGGCCAGATCTCTCAGTTGAACACAATATTTACTGTTTCTGATTGCTATTACCGTTATCGTTTCGTATCGCTTAGACAAAAAAATATCAGAGCTAAATTTATGATAACAGAAAATTTGAAGTCAATTATGCAAAAATTTGAATTCATAGGACCTTACAAAACTTGTTTCGCTGTTGTAGGGTTTTCATACCGAATTTCATTAGGGGAATGCATAATTATATTTATGTTGCATGCTCTATGTGGTATATGTTATTACTTTGTAGTCTAAACAAGTCATTAAATAAATTTGAAAATATCAGCAAATATTTCAAAATATCAACGGAAATGTTTAAGTATTTTCATAAACTAATACATGTTAAAGATAGAACTTTTTGTACTGAACAATGTTTGTTCTACTGATAGTTTTGTTTTTAAGCATACGCCAATAAAATGAAAATATCAATAGATATTTTGATATATTCGGTGAAGGTTTCGTGCCCCCTGCATTTCACCGCAAAAATAAAGAAAACCCAAGTAACCACCAAGCCCACTAACCACCCGACAATCACCCTTTTCTATATAAACTAAATATAGGGTTTCCTAACTTTATATCAGTCGTACATCAGCCTTAAATATATTGCAAAAGAGCGATTAGCTAGCTTGTTGGTTACTTGGGAATTGAAAATCAGATCAAATGGGTGTTCATTGAGACCAGAAGGTCGAACAAGCTTGTAGTGGCTCAAGGTAGGTTTGACAGATATTTTCGACAGAAAACCCCGAGTAAGTATAAGCTAGAGTGGTGTAGAGTGATGACATGTCACAATTGGAATAGCCGTTTATTCTGTCAAAACTGGCTTGGAAAACGTCATTCCAATCGAGCAGAAGAAAATGTCTGAGATGGCCTCACTCTACTTATAGGCACTCTAGTTTGGGCAACTTCAATATAATGTGAGCTACACAACTAACTAATCACATGTTTTACTTGTAAGTACAAGTAAAACATGTGATTATGATATCTTATAATTTCATAATTTCGAAAAATAATGTTTTATGTGAAATAAGCGTTAACAAGCTTTGGCTATAGGGTAGAGAACTACTTCGGCCTAATCGTCCATTTTGGGCCTATCGAGCAGAAGACTTCAAATAAATCCATGATTTCAGAGTTAACAAGTCAATTATGCGTTTGGTACGATACTTTAGTTGATAAGCTACCGAACAAAGTCAATGAAAACGCGTGATATGAAGGTTTGCACTCATTATTCCCAAAAACAAAAGAAGCGTTCCGACCGAATCAATTTTTATCTGCATCCGATAGGCCGAAGTGAATTCAATTGCTTTTCAAAGGCTTTTCAATGCGTTAGGCCGAGTTTAGAATCCGTAGGCCGAGTTTGGCGTCAAGAAGCAGTGTTAGACTTTTGACAATATCTCAACAATTGGTTTCTCTTTATCAAATCTTACGGTACGTACGGAAAGGTAAATAAATTTGGAAGCCATCAGTAATAATGACATTCCGTTTGGTGCTAAACTGCGCTAGATTAAGAAAGACTAAGTGTGGGTTGTGCTTAATAGGCCGGAAATGGGGTAGTTAACCCTACTGAAATCCGTTTAGCTACGGCGCAGTGAAAAAAGATTGGAAAAAGCACAGCACAGATATGCATCATCAGTTCCAGATAATGAAATTGTTGTTCAAATCAAACAATAACCCAGAATGCTGTATCATGCAATTAAATAATCGATTAGATATGGTCGTGTCCATGTTTAGGCTAAACAAACTACGTGGATGATCTCAAACTACCGTGAAGATGTGTTAATCCGCGCACAAAGCTGTTGAACTAGGTTAGACCAACAAGCTCGTGCCATTGGATATAGGTTTAATTGGGAATTGGTTGCTGTGCAATGTGAGTATTTTCGGAACAGGAGTGAAGTGTAGAGGTCAAAAATCGATGCTGGACGAGATCTCCTTAATAAAGACAACCAACCAACCAACCGATGCTGGACGCCATTTTGGATATAGATGTCCGCCATATCAGTTTTAGAAAAATTGTCAAATACCCTTCAATATTAGTATTTCCGGAACGTAGACAACGTGTAGTTTGAAAATCGATGTTGAACGCCATTTTGGAATCCAAGATGGCGACCATAGGTTTTAGAAACACTGTCAAATACCCAACAAGATGGGTAGCAGGCCTGGGTTGAATCCCAGTCGGCGCCACCAGAATGTTCTGAAGCATAAGATCTCTGATCACGCCTTCCGTCGGAAGGGAAATAAAGCCGTTTGTTTATGAGCTGATGGGTCGATAAGTAGGGTCCATGTGGGGGAGCTGCCTCCCTGGCGTCGGTAGCATTGGTGCTCAGTACGGAAAACAAGATCGACGGAAAACAAACAAACAAATGTATGACAACGGCAATACGCTGGACATTGAAAGCTGAAGCAAAAAGCATGGACATGAAAATGAATCTTACTCAGAGAGTGAGTCACAAACGATAAGTCAAAATAACGTTCCAAAAACTGGTAAAGCGTTTCAATTTCTTCATTAACACCTACATCAAATTACCACGGCATTTGAACTTATTTACAACTCATGGTTTCAAAGAAAACATGTTTTTACAATTACTTGTTATTTTACACAGTTGGTTATTACTGTCCAACATGTCATTTTACATATTTGGTTCCCTAGTTTTGTACACGATTAACACTTGAAAAGGGATTATGCAAAAATGATACGCATCAATAGAAAAACACATATCTCACGAACGATTTGTTTGATCGAGATGGTGTCTTTGGCGAAGTTGTGGACAAGTGTTGTGTCTTTCTAGAAAAATATACACTGTAAAAATTATTTTATTATTTACAATTTTTTAAATTATTTTTTTATATTTATATTGTAGTTTAGATAAAGTGCTACTCACTGACAATGTGTATTTGTTGGGCATTTCATAAACAAAAAAGTTATGAATTATTGAAAAAAGTACTATTTTTCAAAATACTACCTACAGTTATCGAATATCTTTAAAATGGTGTGATTATTGAAACACCTTAAATTTACAATAAAAAAGCTCTCAGTGCTTAAATTTCCCAAAGTTGTTATTTTCGAGATACTCGTAGGTTAAAATTCAGTATCGCATAATTTTCACCATTTTGAGATGTTATTCGTGAGTGTTCAATCTTGAAAGTATGTTTAACAAAGAGCCCAATTAATTTTCTTAAACTTTGTAGTTCACAGTTTTGCAATCTTACGCATGAGTTAAGATATAATTAATTATGAGTAAGATACCGTATGGGAAAAGTGTATTTTCCTATTTGGCCTCATATACTGCTAGATAGTTTCGAAGACCACGGTGAAATAGAAAACAATCATAAGAAGTATAAAAATGAGAGAAGGATTAGTAATTTCCATTTAATTCCACTATTTCATTCGATTATTCTTGACAGATACGAAGAGATGAACTAGCCTCAGGCTAAAAATCTCTAAAATAAAGACAAAAAAAAAAAAAAATCTTGACAGATACGCGTATTTCGTCTACAATGTGCAGACTCATAATCTTATTGTAAGAAAACTGAGACTGAAATATGTCTTAATACTTTTTTTTCCAAACTTCGATATTGCATAAGGGCATTTTTTTAGGGAATTTAGTAAGTTTTAAGCATCTTGATTTTTTTTCCTGGGATGTTAAAAAATAAAATTCCGAATCCCTGAACTTTTTCAAACCCATGCTTCATGATATTTTGAGACTACCTATAAATGCTCGAGCTGCAATAGTTTCATGTCCATCTGGATTATTTTCAGTTTTCAGAAGTTTTTAAATTTTGTGAAGAGCTTGAAGTTCATGAACTACCAGTTGAACGATTCCCCTTAAGATCTGGAACACTTTTAGATGAAATATAAGAATAAGTATGTAGTTTTGATCAGAATGTAGATCCGAGACGTTATTTTACCAGTTTGTGTTCATTCCCGATGCACTAAATACATGACCAATCAACATGTTTAGAGGACGTAAAACGTGTTGAATCAAATAAAGTGGATAAGCTTTAAAATGATTTTCTGACCATTTTTTATTGGGGAGCGGAGTAAAACCACTGCGTTCATTATTTGAACTTTCGGACCATATTCCAACAGTTGATGAAAATTCTTATTCTGAATTCATTCTGACAAACAAATTTATAATTCAAAGTGTTTTTTGTCGTTACTTCATACGTGAAGTTTACGATTGTCAGATTTGGTTGGAAAGAACGGTTTTGCGGGAGGAGGAGAAGTGGTTCATAACAATCTTACCAAATTTTAAAATGGGAGGTTGCACAGTTGAAGAAAAAATCCCTTACATAATTAGTACACGGGCCCTTAGTATATGTGTTCATATGTAGTTTACATTGTTTGACGAAATAAATAAATAAATTACCTACCATATAATCCAACCGGTGACCTTCATCACTGCGTGCGAAAGCTGTTGAATGAATTTCAACAGTACTTGTGCTTCATTTTTAACGGCACTCAACGCAACTCCGAAAACAATTGATGCAGCTACGATTCCGATAAGATTAGTACCGTCAACAAAGCGCCCATTGATATTCCATTTGTCGAGATCTGTTTCGTCTGGATGATCTTTCGGTGGCGTAAGAACGGTTTGATATTGCTCAACGCAAGCTTGCACTAGATTAGGTGGGAAAATATTACGGATGAGGTCCAGCAAAGTATCTGCGGTGGTGATATTAGTTTTTTGACTATCAGACGTCATCTGCTCATCGCTGGATCGCTTCCCAGGTTGCACGGTTATCACTAAAGCAACTCCTTCCATAACTGCTATGATTGTTGTAATGATGTAGTAGACAATTGCCATGCCTCCGATTCTTTTCGACATACTTGTTTCCAATGATCCCACGGCCGAAATCAAAGATGTGACTATAAGTGGTAATATTATAGCCTTGATTACCCTTAGGAATAGATCGCCAACCAAATTGACGTACATCACATTTCGTTGAGTCCAGACATTTTCATCTTCTCCAACATTTCGCAAACCCAATCCAAGGGCTATTCCGATTATCACTCCACCAATCGTTAGCGTGATTAATAGGTTTTGATTGATAAACCGACGCAACGCGTGTTTACTTATTCGAACCATTCTGATGCACTACTTCCGTATTACTGAAGCCAAAACAAATATGACTGCATCAACAGCACAACGTGAACCACTGCGATCAGTGGGAATTCCAGTGGTAAACCCGAAAACCACACTACCTTCTTTTTTCCGCAGATCACCCAGCAAAGTTAGATACAACCGCTCACGATGAGATGGATAGAATGTGTTGACCGCATCCCACGAGTCGCGAGGCGTAAGCATTATAAAACCGCAATATATTTAAGCGAAAATAAGCGTCTCAACCTTATCATGGTTTTGTACTTTCGAATGAGTTTTATCACCTGTAAATAGGCAATATAACAAGTGTTATTGGCTTATGAGCCGTGGCACTGACATAAATTGCTACCTTGATTCCCTAAAATTGAAATGGTGACAAAGGAATTAATTACCAACGGATAAAGATTAGCAAATTTCAAAAGCATTGCTTGATCAACGAAATAGATCGATCACTTGAATGTCAGAGTTACATACAATGTACAACTCTAAGTTGTTAACTATCTGTATTATTGTAATAATTGGGGTTACTTTTATGGATACCTGTCGTATAAGGCTAACATATGTACCACTTATATGTTCAAGTGTATAGCGAAGATAGAGACCAACAAACATTGTTGATAAAAACTGAAAAAAAAAAACACATTATCAAATAAAAATTATTGCAGTCAATGGAGTAATCTAACCCTGAGTTTTGTTTGTTTGATTTGTGTGTCATTTTAAGCAATTATTCCACATGCTTATTCTCAGTTATTGGCCGTAGAGCTTGAATCTAAATTGAAATAAGTCTGCAACTCTTCATTTCTCGTTTCTCGATAAGGGTGAAATAGTGTGGGTAGAAATAGCGGGCATAAGGTGAAATAGGGTGAAAGGTATAAATAGCGGGACTATATTCAATTAGAATCGGCTCATTGCGAGAATAACAACTGTATCAAAACATCATTAGTCAATAGTGATGGAGTAATATGGCATGCAGGGATGGATCGCTCTTTTGGGACTTTTTCGTTACTTTTTAATATAGAATGCTTACGTTAAATCCAATTGAATTTTTAGTTAACCCATCTTAAAGAAGATAGCTTAGTGATATTAATCTCCCTATCAAAATTCAAAATTTTCGCACCGTAGAGCCACACTCTGTGTTTTCACTGAAGGTACACATTAGAGCGCTCTCAAGTATATGTATATTAGACCTGTTCATTTTAATTGAAATGTTCGGAATGTAACGGGTCAACCGTGATTACTGTTCGTCATGTTAATTTGTACTTCTGTGTAAATTTTCAGCAAAATCGGTGATGATTTTGAGGTGCTTCAAGTTAATTTTATGTTTTTAAGGTAATTTACGGCTTACAATATTTGTATCTCGAGACTGAAATAACGAAAACTGCTGTAACAACTTTCATAGCAAAGTTTAATGTGTCATGTATCAACTTTGTGACCAAAGGTTGACTATTAGAAGTGATTTTATTGAAGTTTGACTTAGTTTCATGCTCGAAGATATCTTAAAAAGTGAAGAATTTTAAAGTATTTGTTCTACGAATTTTCCACCCGTATGATATAAAAATGTGTAGTGTACGGCATAATGTTCCTCATATTGTTCTAGAAGTTTCGTTCAAACATAGTTTTCGTGTATATTTCATAGATTGATAAATAAAAATCAGAAAAGAGGCCGTTTAGCTCAAATTCACAAGACAACAGAGCCAATAAAAGTCAATTAGATTGACAGAACATAGTTGCATTGCTTTTCAATGACGACCGATGACTGTTTCATTGATATATGATTTTCCATAACTATGAATCCTTAGTAGACGTTTTTTTTATCAAAGGCAAGTGTCACTCGAGCCATTCAAAATATTCGTTATTTTATAAATTGCTGTTATGGTTCGAGTGACACTTGCCTTTGATAAAAAACACGTCTACTGAGGATTCATAGTTATGAAAAAATCATATATCAATGTAACAGTCATCGGTCGTCATTGAAAAGCAATGCAACTATGTTCTGTCAATCTAATTGACTTTTATTGGTTCTGTTGTCTTGTGAATTTTAGCTAAAACGGCCTCTTTTCTGATTTTTATCTCTCAATCTATGAAATAAACACGAAAACTATGTTGGAATGAAACTTCTAGAACAATATGAGGAACATTATGCCGTACACTACACATTTTTATATCATACGGGTGGAAAATTCGTAGAACAAATACTTTAAAATTCTTCACTTTTTAAGATATCTTCGAGAATGAAACTAAGTCAAACTTCAATAAAATCACTTCTAATAGTCAACCTTTGGTCACAAAGTTGATACATGACTCATTAAACTTTGCTATGAAAGTTGTTACAGCAGTTTTCGTTATTTCAGTCTCGAGATACAAATATTGTAAGCCGTAAATTACCTTAAAAACATAAAATTAACTTGAAGCACCTCTAAATCATCACCGATTTTGCTGAAAATTTACACAGAAGTACAAATTAACATGACGAAAAGTAATCACGGTTGACCCGTTACATTCCGAACATTTCGTTTAAAATGAACAGGTCTAATGTATATATATTGATAATGAGCTCTGGAAATGCTTTGTGAATTTCTTTCAAAGGTTCCTTGAGGAATTTGTACTTCAAAACCGTTTTCATCGTCGATAATATGCAAAATATCAATAAGTGCGTGCTTAGCTGTGCAACAATTGGCAAATTACCCTAAAGGGTACTGATTCACATACATACATACATACACATGATTCACGTAATTCTCAAGTCTAGCACATCATTCGGGTTGGAAATATTCTCAACTTCCCTGGGCATACAGCAACATTGTGCACTGCAGCAAAAGTACGAATGCAGTTTTGGTATTATATGCAGCGTTGCCAGATTGTTTTTAAGCTTATCGGTATCAAAGGGATTAAAAATCGGTATTTATCGGTATTTACTATTAATTTTATATTTTTGCCGTTTTTGAAAGCAACAATTTTAACGATGGTGACGACTGGGACTTGAGGAGAATTGCTTTGTTTAACGGCTTTCTCAGTCTTAAAACAGTCTTTAATTTTTTAATTTAATTTTTAAAATTATCGTTGTCCTCAAGTGGTGATTGTGAGAAAATAGTTTTTTTTTTCAATTAAATATCATTAAATAAAACCAAAATATGGTAAATCAGCCACAACAACGACTAAACTATTGACAATAAGGACAAATAATATATTCACTTGAAAAAGGCCACAACCCATGGCCGAATTGTCGAGCAGATTACATCGTAGTCGTTGCAGCGTTTTAAGACTGAGAAAACCGTTAATCAAAAGCTTTGTGGCGAAAATTTAAATAAACGTTCGGAAAAAAATCGGATGTCACATCTAACGGAAGCCAGAAAAGTTTCGGAAACCGGAATAAATTTTCAGAAATAGCCATTTCCAGGGAAAGCCAGAAGAAGCTCGGAAAAAACCTTCCAATAGAAGTCGAACTAAAAAAACTACAAGGGACAGCCTTATGGGGTTGTACGCAATGGTAACTAAGTGGTATTAAATAAAAAATGGTATTTTTTAATTGCAGCAGGAGCTTGTGTTTTGTGTAGGAATAGGAGCGGGATTCTCTCTGCTTATACACTGAAGTCTTTTTTTTACACGGTTTTTTTTACGCGGTTTTTTTTACACGGTTTTTTTTACACGGTTTTCCACGATTTACACGGTACGTTTTTAACGATTTCTCGACAACGATACAACCTATCGACTTGATTCCAATCACATTATCCGTTTCAAGCTATTTGTAATCGAATGGCATACTTAAAAAAAAAATCACAATTTTTGGTGTAAATACAGAAATTTTTAAAATATGTCTATATGGACCATATCATGCTTTAATTACAAATGGCATCAAAATCCGATTTTTTAAAAACATTTAAGCATGCGAAAAATCAAAATCTCGTAGGTTTTTTTTACACGGTTTTTTTTACACGGACCGTATCCCCCGTGTAAAAAAAGACCTGAGTGTACTCTTTAGTATGACGCGCTTGACATAGAAGGCCCACAGCAACTCACGAAGAGTTACTGATTTCGATCAATAGCGGTGCGGCTTCAGCCTTCTTCTATGGATGCTCATGTGGGCTGCAGCTTGCTGCTTGCAGGGAGCCTTTTGTTGTGTACTGAAGAACACCACCACTCACCACGCGGTGAATGAATAAATACCTTTTTGTGAACCCAGATGGAATTCAACTTTGAAATCTGTGCTAGGGAAATCGCTTTTCGCAGGCAATCGGTGATAATTTTAATTATCAAAGCAACAGTTGCACATCCGTGCAATTTTCCATAGTGACATTTTGAAAAATGATAAAGTCTTAAATTTATCAGATGCATCGAAATATATCTGATAGATTGGTGATAAAATTATTGAAATTGGTCCAGGCGCAGCTGAGTTATTAACGTTCAAAATCTTTCATAATTTTGTTACATATTCTATTTTCGGTTTTCACTAAGTGTACCCCCATATAGAAATCACAGTCGAAGTCCAACGTCAAAAAAAACCTTTGGCTTATGGTCAAACCTTTTGGAGAAGACGAAAGAAACTTCCTGTAGACGCTGGCAGAAACTTCCTAAGGTAGATTGGAAGAAACAGCTGAAGAAAGTCGGAAGCCAGAGCGCTTACGGAACAGTCGAAAGAAACAAGGACATAATTCCGGAAAAAAGAGATTCCTGGAGGATGTTCTAATGATCCACAAAATTTTCCTGATATTCATAAAACATCCCTGAAGACTCCGTAATTTCCCTGAAGTTTTCGGAACATTCCTGAAATGCACTTAGGAATATTCCATAATTCATCGAAATTCCTTCATAGTTCTTTTTATTTTCCTGAAATTAGGGGCTGTTTAGGAGTTCTCTGTTCATCCTCGGAACTTCTCTGATTAAAATAAGACTACCGGAATATCTCTTATCATCTTTGAAGGTCTCTGGACTTTCTTGAAGATTACGAATTATCTTAAGTGCTCTCACAATTTTCTTGAATTTATTGTAACATCAGCATTGAAGTTCTCTAATCTTCCCGATTTTTTTTTCAATTTTTAAAAGTTATCGACACTGCCATTAAAAAGCATAGAACTTCCTAT